TGCTGGTGGTGGCAGGAGGCAGCTCAGGCCAGGCAGTTTTGCTGCTTCTTCTGTCACCAGCATTCATGGGGAAATGCCAAACCTGCCTGTGGGTGAAGGGGAACATGCCCCTTTGATGTGTTCATCTAATTTCCAGGACCCGCCTTTGATTTAGGTAGGACTATGCCCTGCAGTAGCGGGTTCTCCTCATCAAAAGCCCTCTTGTACGAAAACCCCACTCTTAATATATCTGAAAATGTTAGCACGAGGCATAGGAAAATGTTGCATCCCTTCTTACTTAGGGAAAAAAAAAAAAAAAGGATATTTTCAGATGAGACCTATGAATCCAAGATCAAAAAAAAATATTGGGCACAAAAATCCAAGGAAGTGGATGTATTGTCTGGAGGTGGGATTTGCCCTGTGCCTCGTAGTGGGTGGAGTGATTGTGTTTCTTCAAGTAGCTCATGTATCCACAATTTGGAAGAAAGATTGTTTTGAGTTTATTCTGGCAGTGGAAACTGATGTCATGTGGAAGCACCTTGGGGAGGTGCGGTGCTCTCCTGCGCTGGGTTACCGGCAGAGCTGGTCTGCCCTCAAGCTGCAAACAGGTAATATGTCTTATTATCTGAAAAAAGGAAATTGCTGAGTAACTATGGTTGTGTTTTCCCGCTGTGCTCTTTTGTGGAAGGGTTTGTTCAAAAGCAGAGATTTCTTTTTCTTTTCCAGGACTCTTACTGCAGAAATACCAGATATGTCACATCTAGTCTTTCTTACTGTTTCATGACATCTCTAGGCTTTCCCTGGGTGTTGGGCATTGAAATTCTACCCTGAAATTCAAACGGGTTAAAAGAATAAACAGAGCCCAGAACTGTAGATTGTCTGACTGCAGATTACTGTCTTTTCTATCTCTAAAAGTTAATGGCATTGGAAATGTCATCTTCCTTTGAGCAACAAAGTCCGTAGCGTCCACAGGATTTATTTTGCAATACAGACAAATTTTTAAGTTTCTTCTTGGTGTTAGGAAAGTTTTTTTGGCTCTGGTCCCACTGGACATATCGGCTGTGTTCTGCAGACAGCAGCACTGGTACCCTCGTCCCTGTGCTCGTCCTCCTGAGCATCACCCCGAGCGACAAGATGACTTTGCATCAGCAGGGCTTAGCTGAGATGGGTTGAGGTAGTAAAATGCGGACTTGCTCCCATATCAGGTTGGACCAGAGCTGGCCAAGCAGCATTAGCCCACTGCCTTGTCTATGGTCTGTCCTCTCCGTGTAACCCAGACATCTCTCTGTGTTCTGCTCTTAGCTAGGAGAACCAGGGAGACCTTTAAGCCACGCGCTGCTCCTGCGGGTCAGTTTGCGAAGCCCTTCCCGGCGTTGTGCGTGTTTGTCGACAGAGGGGCCAACCCTTGTTCTGGGAGTTTAAACAAGATAACTGGTAGGGAAAAGAGAGCCTGCCATCCCTCCGGATAGCAGCGTCTCGGAGAGCACCGGCAAAGTATGATTTGTCGCCTGTGAAAAATGTTTGGATTTGACAGCTTTTCACAGGAAGCCTGTCAGAGTGATAATTTAATGAGTACAGATTGCTTGCAACACAGCTGTAAAACGTGCTTTTACAGTGCTGTAAAATAAGCAACCGAGGCCTTTGTGTGTTTGCTTTGTTTGAGAACAAGTCAGCTTCTAATACAAATGAAAGGTGGTCATTTATTTCACCCAGCAAACAGTCAAGACATGAGAGGAACCTGCCATTTTTCTTCTTGTGGTGGCAAGGTTAATGCTGGGTTATGTTGGTGTTTGCTAATCAGCTTGTTTCTGTGAAGGGGAGAATTAGTATCTAATTAGATGTAGGGAGTTACTAGTCAGATTAGCATTTAAGTCATAAAAAGGACTTTTGGGCTTTCTTCTCTTCTTTGCAGATGTCTATGCTCATGGTTTGCACAAAGAAAAGCTTCATATTCATTGCTGTGCCCAGGCTGATTTCTTGAAGGGGAGATAGAAACTGAGGATGCAGACTTGTAGTATGCCAACAGCTAGAGTAAATAATTTATATATATACATATATACATATGTGTGTGTGTGTGTGTATATATATAAATAAAAAATTTAATCCCTGCTGCTGACCAAGTTAAGAGTGCCAGTGCAACAGCTGTGCATTGCATGGAGGAAGATGTCAGCTAGTTGCCATGCATGTCCTGCCACTGGGTCCGTCCCCGCTTGCTGGCGTGGGGTGGCCCCTCATCCCCGGTGCTGTGCTGGGCATCCTTCCTCCCCACCTTCCCAGCCTCATCCCCACCCCAGGAGCCTCGAGGTGCCAGCAAGGCCACCCATGGGCCGAGCCACTGGCGCCAGTCACCAGGACGTCCCATCCAGCACGGCTCGGGGATGCTGGCGGGGAAGCTTCGTGGGGCAGGAGGGTGGGTGCTGACTCTGTGCTGCAGGCACACAGCCTCCTCTGTCCTCCTCCCCTTTTTATTTGGAAAGTGGCACTTGAGAATGGGTGTTTTCTGCCTATGAAAATGCTGGCTGGCGCTCGAACCAGAAACGATGGCTTTCAACGTACGTGGTGCCTCCTTCAGCAGTGTTGTGTTGGGGTTTCAGAAGTGGCTGGTGTTGGTGGGAAGTTTTCATTTCCTTTATTTACCTTCCTTTTGGGCAAGGAAAAGCTAGTGGCTGGAAGAGTGCAGGTGCACAGGTATTCGCTGCTAATTAGGCTGCTTTTTTTTTTTTTTTTTTCCAGGTTAATAAACATACCTGGTTCTAGCCCACATGAAAAATTGCTAAGAGATGAAGTGCTCTAAAGCCTGGATACAGTTTATTCAACTTAGACTTTGGAGTGTAACTAATAAAATGAGTTTGGGTAGGAGAATAAATTGGTTATGATGATATAGATGTATTACTTAAGATAACTTTCCTGGCTTAAAACATTACTTTGGGTTCCCATAGACTGGTGGCTGGAAGTACTAATAGATTTCTCATCAATGTAATTTCAAAATCTTAATTCTTTTTGAAGAGTTTGCTGATGCATCTGCCAGCTCTTGTGCCTGGCATGAAAGTGTTTAAACAACTTATTTGGTGATGCTGAAAGGTCTGAGCAAAGGAAGGAAGTGAGCCTTCAAAATGATTAAGTGAATTAGAAATTAATATACACCAAGCTAATCTCTATAGTATAAACTCAACAGAAAAAAATCTTCCTGGAGAGGAAATGCCAGTCATGGGAACGAAAGTGGAGGTTCCTGCT